TATATTGCAAATGAGAAAGCAGCCTACGTTTTTCAGGTACGTAGTCGGCATATGTCTCCGCCTGTGCCAAGTCATCCCCATCCTCGTCCAAATCGTCGTCTCGCTAAAAATTAAAACACATCAAGGCCGTTTACGGTTTGCCACAGAGCAAAAGTCCAACCGCTAAGCGAAAAGACAGACGTGCAGAGTGAATACCCAAAAGCTTATCGATCTATTCAAGAAGTAAATAACTCACTCTAAGCATCTGAAATGGCTTGATAATGTTTGTATGATATTGAGAAAGTTGATGGTTTCTAAAAGCGATGGGAAAGCGGTTCAGTTTTGCATGTTCTGACCAATCCCCGAATCCATTTGTTAAGGTGGTTGTTGCAGAGGGTTGCATAACACCAGAGACTGGCAAGCTTAACTCGATAGCGCGTTGAACTTTTGTCGGTGGAGCAACAAGGTCAACGGAGGAGGCATGTCTCTTCCGAATGATATTTGGTACACGAAGAGAGCCAGGAGGCATAGGGCTGGATCCGATCTCGGGCTTGCGAATCAACTGGCTAGCCATTCTCAAGGTTTGATGGCCATTGGAAATGGTTATAGCCGGCTGTTGAATAATCTTGACAAATGGATTTCCAGCTTGGCGAAATATCTTAACACTAGGAGGGGCCGAGCCCGTAGCCTTAATTATGCGAGGCGTTGCTTGTGCAGCAAAGGACTTGGGCTTTGCAGGCTCTGACGAGAGAGATGAAGGAGCAATCCCGGCGTTGATTAGGGCACTCATTATAATGTCCTGCTGTGGTCCGCCTTGGTTACCTTGGGGCTGTCCATTAGATGAAGCAAGGGCACCACTACTCCTATCTTCAGGCCTAACGCCGGTAAGCAGCTGAATGAATTCATCGTCATCCTGACCCTCAGCGGGCTTTACATTACTGAGCAAGGAATCTAAGTCATTTTCTCCGGGAAGCAGACTAGACTCTGAGTCTAGGTCTTTTGTAGCAAGGCCTTGAAGCGCAGCTTCGAAAGCATCAACAGGATCGACCCTAAAATTATAAGGAACCAGGGAGGCTAGTGGTCAATATGAGCGAATTCGTGCTAAAATGTGTTTAAACATATAACATGTGCCTAATGGGACTTCTCAAATTCAAATGTGAATGAGATTAATCAAGACAACATAGGAACGCGCTAGTTTTACTAAGTCGTCTGGTGCTCCAGCAAAATAACCCTACTGACTAATTATCATTTCCCCACAAATGATGACTCACATCCTCATCTCAAATAGTCCATGAGTGAAAAAATAGTTTTTTGATAAAATGCGAGGAGAGCGTGACTAGGGCCAAGGCCAGTCTCAGCGACCCGGCATATGAATAGAGGTAAGGAGCGAAATGGCGATGCATAGCCCAAATGATCGATTTAAACACAATATTTATAATTCCTAATGTTTATAATGACATATTACAGTTAAATTTAAATATACATTGATGTGTTAAGTTAGATCTAAACAGTTTTAATTATATTGTTTATATACAATATTTTGCAATTTTAAAATCTGATTAATTATTTAGGTGAAAAATCCACATTCGTTTAGTGTCTGTCGGGCACACACGACTTTGCCTTTGCGACCTCTGCAATTATGAGCGATAG